TTTTATAGGGTTTTCCTCTACACACATCTCTGACAAAGTATAACTTGTAAATTAGGCATAGTAAGAGGTTAATGACAGTAAATAATAATGCAATAGGACTAATAAAAAGATATGCAATAACTGTAATAGAAGTTACATGGGGCATTTCTCCTGCCCTCTCTCTCTCTCTCTCTCTCTCTCTGAAAACATTGTATTGTACTGTCTCATCCTTCTTTCCCTTGTGCGATGGCAGGAGATGGTACCGTCCTGGACAAGGAATGGGACAGGAAGCATGCAGGTTCTCTATGGCCTTAGTGGGGTGCACCGTGGGTAAACGCCCCTCGACCCTGGCAGAGCTCTGTGTGGATGGATGTGCGTGACAGCTGGCATCTTGCAGACTGCTGGGGAAAAGGAAGCAAAACACAAATAAAATCGAGGCTGCGACTTTTGTGGAGACGTTCTGCCGGGAGAAAAGCAGGGCACCCTGCCCTCGCTCCCTCCTCCTTATGAGCAGCACTGCAGTCCCGCGCCTTGCTCTCTCCTTCCGCCAGCTCAGCTCTCGGTTGAAGACAGAACCGCAGCGAGGGGTGCGGCTGCGGATGGAGCTGCTGACATCGAGCAGGCAGGAAGTGGGGCGTGCAGCCGTGATTTTCATTTGACTGATTGTTTTCGGAAACATGCAAATGCCGTGAACTTTTGTCTATAAGATAAAATAAGTCCCTAAAAAAGGAAAACGGAGACACCAGATTTGCTCTCTACCCACGCTTAGCAAGAGGATTAACATTTACCGCATACTTGTTTTGTTAGGAATTTCATGCGCTGCCTGCTCAGATGCCCTTGTGCTGCCCTTTGCACGCGTGTTGACTCCTTCCTGAGCCGGGGAAAGCCGCAGTGATCTGACCTACCTCCCCCATCTCTGCCCTGCCTGGCATCCCGGCCTTTCTCCTGTTCTGGAAACATCCGCCGCGCGCTCCTACTGCAGAACACTTGTGTTTGCTGTTCTCTTTGCCTAGACACTTTCCTTGAACTCTCACACATCTGATTTCCCATCTATCAGACCTCAGCAAAATACCTACCACATACCTTCCTTGGCCATCCTACTACAAACAGTACAGCACTTCTCTTTCAATCCTGGGCTCTTACTCCAGTAGCTTGTTTTTCCCATCACCTTATTGTATCTGGATTATCTCATTTTATTTGATTTTGATCTGTCCCCTCCCACTGGGGTTTTCCTGTTTGTGGCTGGCCGTACTCAAGCAAGCAGAGGAGTGGCTGGAAGAGAGGATGCTGAACAGCGTTGGCTGAGAGTGCAGGGATCATATACACAACGGCCTTAGGAAGTGGACATGGGATATCGACAAGGCTGGTGATCTCCAGCCAAAGACCATCAGGAGTGCATCTGAACTGAGCTGGTTGGGTTTATCATGGCCTGTTGCATAAAAAGAATTCAGTCCATGCGTATCACAGTAAGAGTAGGTCAAGAAGGAAATCCCAGGGTTCAGGTTCTTATTAGGTGATTTTGGCTGGGATTAAGGAGGCAGGACTTTTACTCTGGTTTGGGCATTATGAGAAACGGGGGACAATAGCGTGGGTATTCTCAGTAAATCTCATTTATAAGGCAGGGAGACTAGACTAGGAAGACCAGAGCTGGTAACAGCAAACAATTTGGGAGAGCAGCATCAGCCATTCGTTTCCTCCAGGTGGGGATGTTCCGTACCTCTGTGGTTTGCACTTCTATTTTCGTCATAACTTAGGCACAAACACTGAGTGGCCTTGCTTTTGTCTTGCTTTGCCCAGCTAGAGAACAGTCTCATGGAAATCAGTGCTCCGCACACCCACATTTAACAGGAAAAAGCAGAGGTCTGGCTTGGAGGGTCAGGCCAGTTTCTGGAGGTCCAGGTCTGTTTTCCTCTTTCCTCAAGTGCGGTTGGGCTGGTGAGCAGTTTCAGATAGCCCGGAAGTAAGCAAGAGTCTTTCCTGTGGCTGTTTGACAGCTCTCCACCACCCACTTCTGGATTTGAATCGGGGTGACCACAGGACTAAGACAGTAGGGGGCAAGGTAGGGAAGCAGAACTTCTAGAAATCGACTGAAAAAGTGCCTTTATCTATCCAAGAGTTGATATCCCCTCAGGACATGACCATGTATGGCTAATGTTGAAGTGGCGGATGGTGTATGTCTTGTATCCCGGATGATAAAATTACCAAATCCACACCATCATCTTGAAGGTCATGTTCAAAGGTCAGCCAGGGCCCTGGCTACCGAGGAGGTTTTTCTCTGAACACAACTGCTTGGACTTGAGAAGGTCTTTGAGTCAGGCTCTCCTGGGCTCTCGCTGTACCCTGTATTCCTCCTCTGGCACCCTTGCAGTACAGCTAATTTGTTTACAATCAGCTGCCAGAAGGACTGTCTCCCACATGTTCCTATCCCGGAACTTAACAAAGGACTTGGCACATGCTGGGCTTTCTATAAATATTAGTGGGTTTAAAATGGAGCTTTAATTCCTGATTTGAATTCGCCTTATTGAGTCCCTATTGAGGGCCAGGAGGTCACTAAAGCATCAGAGTCCTCACCCCAAGGAATTCGCTTTTCCTCCTAACCAAGAATGATAATCATCAGAGCGGGCCAGGGGTGGCGGTCCGGGCCTGTGTTGGAGGTTTACACACGCCGCAGTTATTGTCATCTTACAGGTCTTGGGGCCAGGGCACAGGCTGGAACCCAGTCTGACTTCAAGGACGTTTGCCCCACTGTTACGTCGAAAGGCACCGTGTCCATTCCCAGTTCTGTAATTCAATCAGAGCGCAGTCCGGATGCAGGGAGCAGACTTCGCGGCATTTATTTTAAATCTGCCCGAGTGGGGAGTGGGACTGACCTGGAGGAGAATTTAGGTCCCCCCACCCCCAGGCAGTGTGTTTGGGGGAAACAGCTTCAGCTTCCCCTTGGAGCAGGAGGCGACTCTGGCTTTTCGGGCGTCCGCGCGGCTCGGCGCAGGTGCGCCCACGCCTCCTCCTCGTCCCGGACGCCCCGGTGGTCCCGCGGGTGGGCGGCC